ATAGCAGGGATTGTGGGGCTGGCGCGGGATCGGGCAGTGTTTCGTTCTGCTGTGCATGGGGTCGCTATGAGTCGGAAATGACTCGACGGCACTTAACAACAACAACAACATCTTTATGGAAGTAGATTGCCCCATCTTCCATCTGCAGAGCAGCTGGTGGGCTTGAACCACCAACCTTCTGGTTAGCACTCACATGCCTTAGGCACTGTGCCACCACAGCTCTTTGCAAGGCTGAATAAGCACCGTATGCACCTTACCTACAAATTTTACTTAAAGACTTACTTAAAGACATACTTAGGAACAGATCTCATTCGTTACCGGGGACTGTCTTTATTTCAGAAATTCATTCCCATGTTCTTTGTGCCTCTGTGACTGGCAGCAACCTCACAGTCTCCAGATCTCATTCCTCTGCCCCTTGGAGTTTGCATGCTCGTGACTCCTGTGTCCAAAGACAAGTGTATTGCCCTGTAGATGAGGAGGTCCTGATTGGCTGGATTGGGGGCCATGCTGATTATTTACAAGTGGAAGACCTGAACAGGTAGTCATTGTATTAAGCAAGAGACTTGAGGGTTGTAGATCCCAGGCTATTCTACATCAGCCATTAGGTGGCATGGCACCTCCTGTAAAATATTGGGGGCAAACAGAATGGACTGAGGGAGAAAGGGGAGGTGGTGTGTCTCCAGCTGTCCTTGTGTATTAACTAACCGTGGGACTGGGGTGGGTTATCCATCGTTTTTAGGGAACAGTGCAGATCTCCGGCTGGTAAAGACTTTCATAGAACTGGGGCTCCCTGGAGGAAAACTGGACTTCCTGATGTCTGAGAAGAATCAGGTATGACAACAAAACATCTGCGCTGAAGGACTCCCCGGGGCATGGCTCACATGAACCCCCTAGAGCCACGATAATGGTCTGTGGACACACACAGATTGAGGTGGGGAGAACATTTCTACCAAAACTGTCCATGTGCATGGAGGGCCTGGAGAGAGACTTCTTGCTTTATTTCAGGAGTGTGGGGAAGGGTAATAAGTGGGATCATGGGAGCCAGGTGATTCTTTTGATCTCCTAGGGCATTTGGGTTGGTGGCAACTTGGAGCATAAATGATTTGGGTCTCCAAGGGGCCCTGCTTGGTGAGGGTGACTCTCATTGATGTCTGTGTAACCCATGACATTTGGTTGTGACTGCTTTATAGTCAGAGGTGATGTGTAGGCCTCTGTTATTTCAAGTAGATGGTGCATAAGTCCTACTGCAGTGTCAGAGATGATGAGAACTTAGAGAACCTGTTGACTACAAAGGGGAGCTGAAAAGTCCTCAACATCCCCGAGTTTCTTCATTATAGCCACTCTGTGGTCCTCTTTCCTGATGCTGAATCCCGATCTGTAGCTCAAGCACCAGGCTTCACACCCCAGAATGCTCAATAACGTTGAATGAAGAAGATAGGCTGTGCACAGAGCGGGCCCCTACCATGACCCCACCCCTCACCTTTCCCTGCTGTCTTCTTCCAGATGGATACATTTGCAGATTTCGATACCATGACAGACCGGCTGCTGGACGAGATCATTCAACACATTCAGTTGTATAACCTCTCCATATCCCGAATTAGGTAAAAGGAAACCACAGGTAGTTAATGCAGGGGGGAGAGGGGACTTTTGTGAGTGCTTGCTGTATACAGGTTCTGTATGATGCCTTCTGGATGTCCCCGGGATAAGTTAACCTGTGCCTTTGAGCAAGTAGATTACCTTCAGAGCAGAATTGAGTACTAGGGATGGTGGACACCCAGATCAGTCTTAGAATGGGTGGGGAAGAATCAACTTTCTGTGGCTCAGTAGAAAAAGTGCTGGTCTTAAAAGCCAGAATTCCTAGGTTTGGATTCTTTTTGTTCTTCCAAACCCTCACAGGTCTGAATCCTGCCTCTCCCTTGTGCCAGCTGTGTAAAACGTTTTCAAGCTTTCTACATCTCTGAGCCTCTGTTTCTCCATTTTTTAAATGGGACCAGCACTGGAACAATCCATTCAACAGCTGAGTAGGTTGCGCATTCAGTAAGAGGTTTTCAGCTGTTGCTTGTTTTGTCTTTCTAGAGTGGAAAATAACTGGTTTTAAATGTTTAGATGGTGATAACAGTCATGAATAGCTTGCATTTTGGTCACTTGCACTATGCCCTGTGTCATTCTAAGCCCTCAGCATTGAAGGTCCATTTAGTCCTTGAAATAGACAGTAACTTCTTCATTTCACAAGTGACGAATCTGAGGCCTGGAGAAGTTAGGTAAAAATAAAAGGATACAGACAAGGCAATGCAATTCCATAGACTGACACTTGTTTCATTTCTTCACTCACTTTATGCTAACCGTAAGAGGGGGAGAAACAGCCTCTCATACAGTAGGGGTTCAGTGAATAATTATTTAGTTTAAACATAACAAGGTATTGAGTCCATGGACCTGTGAGCAGAACATACAGAAAGTATGCCAAGCACAGGGTGGGGCTGAGGACAGGCTGCTCGATACAGATTTTGATAAATGAATGAATGGATGAATGGATGAAGCTGTAGAGGCGGTGAGAAGACAGGTTATGAGGGGACTCATAAGCTGATCTAAGGAGCTGAGATTTTATCCTGTGAATGAGCGGGACATTTCTGTATTAGATGTGCCTTTCAGAAATGACCCCACCTGACCCCAGGAGACTGAGGGGGAGGTCTGAGATCAGAAAGGAACCTACTATAGTGACACAAAGCCAGGTGATGTGCCCACACTTCCTGATGACCACACAGGGAGAAAAAGCTTCTGTTCATGGAGACCCTGCCTGAAGCTTAACAAGGCCTGGCCTTGGAAACCTGATGAGGGAAAATTAGAAGCCCTTAGGTCCTAGTAGAAGTACTCTGGTGGAGCTATAGGTCAGGCATTTGGCTGTCAACCAGAAGGTCAACTGTTCAAATGCAGTAGGTATTCTAGGGGCGGGGGAAATGAGGCAATCTACTTCCATAAAGGTTTACAACCTTGGAAACCCTGTGGGACTTGCTGTGAGTTGGAACTGACTGGACAGCAGTGAGTTTGGTTTCACTTTTTAGGTCCTAATGGCATAGTATTTAAGTACTCAACTGCAAACCAAAAGGTTGGTGGTTTGAACCCAGTAGCCATGGGAGAAAGATGTGGCAGTCTGTGTTTACTCTGTCCTATAGTATCACTATGAGTTGGAATTGACTGGATGGCAATGGGTTTTTGGTTTAGGTCCCTGGGGTGGCATGAACGATTTGCCTTTGACTAGACAGAAGAAGGCCCTGGCAATATACTTCTGTAAGATTAAAGCCACTGGAAACCCTATAGAATAATTCTACCCTGACACACATGGGGTCACCATGAGTCAGAGTCAACTTGACAGAGATCGGTTTGGTTTTTTTGGTTAATTCTCTTTGCCAGTTTCCCTCAGTCCAGTGGGCAGTGGAGGGCTGCTGAGCCCTCAGTGGTCCCAGTACAGGTCTCTCCAGCAGCTAACCTGTGCTGTCAAATCATATGTGCCACTTCTGTCTCTAAACAGCTTCATTGGCCATTCTCTTGGCAACATCATCATCCGGTCAGTCCTCACTCGGCCCCGGTTTCGGTATTACCTCAACAAACTACATACGTTCCTGTCACTCTCTGGGCCTCACCTGGGGACCCTATACAACAACAGTGCCCTGGTTAGTACAGGTAAGACTTTCCCAACCTCAGCATCCTTAAAATGAAGTCGGGGCAGAAGGGAGACAAAACTAGAGGCAGAGAGTTTTCTCATAGAATCCCGGGATTTTGGAGCCTCTTCCAGATGTGGAGAGGCCTGGGCTTAGAAGACGGTCCTTTCATTATGAACCAAATGGGGTAGACTAGATGTTCTCCATGAGCTCTTCTACCTTCAGTTGTCTGTGAACAAAAAGGTGATATCTTTGAGGTTCTGGTCAGAAAGGACTAGAAGAAAGAGCATTGCCTTTGGAGTTGGGCAAGCCTGGGGTGCGTTCTCACCCAGACCTCTAGTGAAGACTCCAGCCATGTCAATTAATCTCTATGATCCCAAGTTTCCTTATGTGTGAAATGGAGATAGTGAGTGTGGGTGTGTATCGATATATCTATAAAAGACATACAACCATGACGATCCGCAGAGGCAAGGATGGTGAGACTTCAGCTGGCTTCCTTTGGGCACATCACCAGGAAAGACCAATGGCTAGAGAAAGACATCATGTTTGGTAAAGCAGAAGGTCAGTGAAAGTGGGGACATCCTCCATGGGACGGATTGACACATGGCTACAACAATGGACTCAACCATACCAATGATTACAAGGACTGGACATTTCGCTCCGTTGCACATAAAGTCGCCATAATTTGGAGCCACCTCAAGGGCAACTAACAACAAGAAGACCTATCTGTCTGTCTGTCTATCTATCATTGATCTACCTATCTAGCTAAAATAATAATGTTGTGAATTAAACAGGAGAAGGAAAAATTAGTATGTTTGGCAAATCAAATATAACTGTTTGATGGGCTACAAGGGCACAGTCCTCAGTTCTGAGGCTCCTATATGTGACTTTGAAGACTAAGGGGCATTAACCCAAGCCATAGTATTTTCAATCACCTCATATGTATGTGAAAGCTGGACAGTGAGCAAGGAAGACCGAAGAAGAGTTGATGCCTTTGAATTGTGGTGCTGCTGGAGAATACTGAAAGTACCAGGGACCACCAGGAGAACAAATAGATTTGTCCTGGAAGTGCGGCCAGAATACTGCTTGGAAGCTAGAATGGCCAGACTTCATCTGACCTACTTTGGTCATGTTGTCAGAAGGGACCACTCCCTGGAGGATATCATGCTTGGTAAGGTGGAGGGTCAGCGAAAAAGGGGAAGACCCTGAACAAGATGGACGGACACAGTGACTGCAACGATGGGCTGAAGCCTAGCAGGGATTGTGAGAATGGCTCAGGACCAGGTAGTGTTTCATTTTGTTGCACACAGGGTTGCTGTGAGTCAGAGCTGACTCGATGGCACCTAACAACAACAATTGTATTTGTTTTAAGGGAGAGACATGAGGAAGGATAAGGAAGCAAGGTCCAATATACCTTAGAAGATGAGGACGATGAGTAGAATTACCAGGGCATTGAATGAGGGGAAGAGTCTTCTGTGAAGAAGGCTTATTACATGTAATGACATAGAAGTGTGGTGTCATCAGCTGTGAAGAAGGCATAGAACATGTAACGTCAGAGAAGTGTGGTGTCTTCAGTGAGCTACAGGCGGCTTTTGTGACTACAGCCCAGGATGCCCTGGGGGGCAGGAGATGGCCATGAAGCCCCCAGCAGGAGCCACATGATTCAGGCCTTCTTTCAGGATGTGACCCTTTAGTGGCTGCTTAACCAGCTGCATCAACTCTAGTTTTTCAGCATCCTAAATGGATGTATAAGGAGCACCCTTATATGCTTTTTGTGTTTAGGATTGTATCCTTAAGCTAAGGAGTCTTGGTGGGGAAGTTGTTAACTCTCAGCTGCTAACCAAAAAGTCAGTGGCTTAAACTCACCCAGCAGCTCCATGGGGAAAAGACCAGGCAATCTGCTCCCAAAAAGATGACAGCCTAGGAAACCCTGTGAGCCATTGTACTCTTTCCCATGGAGTTGCTATGAGGTGGAATCTGCTTGAAGGCACCTAACTACAATCAAACATGCTCGGTCTAAATTCCCAAAAGGGTATGCAGTGGATTGGAGGGTTGGGATGGTTTCATGGTGCCTGTTGCTTTAGCCTTTTCCAGGTCATTTTCACGCCTGCTGATCCATGCAAATGTTTCCTCTGACTTCCCTAGCATACGCTGGAAGTGCCCACAGCTGTCTGTAGTTGAAGATAACTAGAACCACATTTTCACAGCAATCTCACCTTAATGACTCCACTCCAATTCTTCCCCTAGGCTTGTGGCTCATGCAGAAATTGAAGAAATCTGGGTCCCTTTTGCAGCTGACCTTCAGGGATCATGCTGATTTGCGCAAATGTTTCCTCTACCAGCTTAGCCAAAAAACAGGTGGGTAATGTGTTCTGCAGTGGTTCAGTTTGTGCTCATGAGTTTAAGCTGCAAACCCCACTCCTGAGACACAGATCAGTGTCAATGCCATGTTGACCTCACTTTACAGAGGAATGCAATCAGAAGACACAGCATGTACAGCATCTTCATCTCGTCAAGGGGCCAACAGCCACCCATGTGCTTAGCTTCTCTTGAACACTCTCCACAGGGGCTGGGAGACAAGGTCAGTGTAGAGGGTCATCTCACACACAGAAGCTATAGCCACTATTTCCCACCATTGCTCTAAGGTTCTGTTCACATAGGTCCAAGGTCTGTGAGCCAATCCATGGGCTGTCCACCCAACTGCAGTTCTACCAACATGACACAGCCCATTTATGGAACAGTGCTCAAGAGACAGGGTCATTCTCAGACTGGCCCGATCCCACATCTGCACCCTCACTCTGTCAAGAGTTGGAAACTTGACCAAGGTCGAGGGGTGACCTTGGGGCAGCAGTGATCGTGGCCGAGTGGTCTCCAGGTCAAGGTGGGGACTGGAGAGGCCAGCCGCTGGGCCTGCTCAGTCCTGCCCAACCAGCTGGCTAACCTAAGGTCCTCTGCTCGGGGGATAGCCCTTCCTCATTCCTCGAGTGCTGACTCTTGGTACCTCTGCCCTTTCCTGAATGGAGATCCTGCTGTGTCCCCTCAGGCCATTTTCTGAGCCACTTTGTGCCCCTGTCTATTCAAGTACACTCAGCACTTTAACATTCATAGCCTACAAAGAATTTGTGTCACTTATTTTTTCTTTCCCTGCCACTGTTCAGGGTGGCTTTCTGTGTGTCATCTTAGCTTCCATGGCCGATGGGAACAAAGATTTTGTCTTCTAACACGCAAAAGCAGCCTCTCTTCTCAGCCTCCCCTGGGTGCCCACGATACACCCCTGCTCCCCACTGTCATGTTAAATCTCAGACTCGAACACCGTTGTGCAGTGAGATGACCTGGGTCCTGGGTGCCTCTTGCTCAGCCTCTCTCTGGGGCAAGCCTGCACCAAGGGTGTGGGTGAAACTGCCCGAGTACAGATCCCCACCCTGCTCTTGTTCCAGGGCTGCAGTATTTTAAGAATGTTGTGCTGGTTGCATCTCCTCAAGACCGCTATGTGCCGTTCCATTCAGCCAGGATCGAGATGTGCAGGACTGCTCTCAAAGACAGACACGCAGGTGAGCCACGCTTCCTTCCATACCGTTGCCAAATCTGTTGCCAGACTCAAAGGGTCCACTGCTCGCACTCTGCTTAAGAATAACTCAGAGGCAAGCGAATAATAGTTTTCAGCATAGCTTCTATTATTTACAGCAAATGAAGAGACAGGGACATAGCTCTCAAAACATTATCTCACCAGACCAAGTGATTGGGGAAGTTTTAAGCCTAAGGGGAAGTAGGGAGTTATACATGTTCAAAGCTTTTCTGGGAGGTGTTGTGCATTATTTGTAGTGGGTAGCGTTATAAGCTGGTATGGAAGTGGCTGATGGACCTCTTGCTTCTGAAATAGGTCCGTGTACCACCAATGATGTAGTTCTGGTGGTTTTTGGCTCTTTGACGTGAGTTTTAACATTCCAGGTTCAGCTAGAGGGCAGAGTTGTTCTCTTTGTACATACTCCTGGATTAGCTAGGACCAGCTCAGAGTTTACGGCTGAAAAAGATCTGTAAGAAGGAAGGTTGGCAGGCAGTTGGGGAGGGGTGCTCTTTCCTACCTGACTAGTGAAGACTTGTGTATTGCCCCAGGTGTCCTTAGGCCCCATCTATATGATTAGCGGAGGCTTTCCTAACCTAACTGGCTTCAATAGGGACCTTCTGACTTAAGAAATCAAGAGTAAATTCATGGAAAGGAGTATGATGACAAGAGGGTCGTGCTTTGTTTTTTATTCCTGTGCAGCGTATACACAGGAGAACACACACCAATTCAACGATCCCTCCACGTGCAATTCAGTGACGCTCATGACATTCTTCCAACTATACAGCCGTCCTCACCTTCCTTTTCCAAATTGCTCTTCCTCCACTGCCATAAACTCACTGCCCCCAAGCTTCCCATCTAGCCTTTCTAGTTGCTGTCATCAACTTGATCCCATATTGATAGTTCTTTAAAGGAGCATAATGTTCATGGCAGATGGTTTTTACTAATTAAGCTAGACTGATGTTTGGATTAAAGAAGGCTCCAAGGGGTATTTTAGGTTTATGAGTTCAGATTTGAAAGATTGTCTCAGGGCAATGGTTTCAGGGTTAATTCAGCCTCAGTGGCTCTAGGAGAGGTTGAAATTCTGTTCCATGTTTCCACCTTTTTGATCAGAGTTCTTCCATAGAAAATTTTTACTCAAAATGTTCAGTTATAATAACTGGGCACCTTCCAGGTCTTCTGGTTTCATGGCAAAGGAGGCAGTTGTTCATGGAGACAATTCCCCATACATTCATTTCCTCTTCAGCATGGGGCTCTTTAATCCCAGAACTGAGAGGTAGGATTGTATCTGTCTTTTTCTGTCTCTCAGTCTCCCCGTCTCTCTCCTTGTGTCTTTCTGTCTCTCTTTCTCTCTCTATGTACAGATACATAATATCTATACATATGCATACACACACATGCGTGTGTGTATGTATGGATCTCTGGTGGTTCAATGGCTGCTAACTGACAGATCAGTGTTTTCCCACCAGACTTGAGGATCTGCTTGCATAAAGATTACAGCCTAGGAAGTCCTTTGGGGGCAATTCCCAAGTCCTATAGGGTTGCTATGAGTCAGAATCAACTCAACAGCACACAACACAACAACATTTATGTAAAAAACTTGGCTGCCCCGGGTTCGCATTCAGCAGGAACCCCATCACATTGCTGTGCCACCGCGCAGTGCAGAAGAGCTCAGCAAGACTGCTAACACCTGGTCCCAGAAGGCAGGCGGGGCAGATGAGGCAGGAGAGTTACAAGGCCCCTGACTTAAAGTGAGTCTCACACATCTCCTTCCCCTCTCACACCACCTGAGATGGGATGGCAGAGGCATGAAGTCACAGGAAACAACGCTTCCTTCTCTGTTACGTTTCTTCCCTCTTTGCCATCTGCAGGTGTCTGATCTAACGCTCAAGATCTTGTCAGAAAAACAAATAGCAGTTCTGTGGAGTTGTTTCTCTTTTCACGTTTTTGTATACCCTTGAATTTGGGCTTTTGAGTATAGAGATCACATGTCCACGGGGCCTTTGTTTTCAGGTCCAGTGTACTGGGAACCTTTGATCTAGTGGTGCTTGGAGTACAAGCACAGACATGAGGGAGTGCAGAGCTGGGAGTGAATCCACAGAGCACCCCACCTGTGCCCCGCCACACGCACATGCACACACACACACATGCACGTACGTGCGCACGTCCACCATTTTGTAATCTCACTACACAAAGAGAACTCTAATTTTACATCTTTTTGGTGTTGGTCACAAATATTAGAAGGCTTTGGAAAGTGACATGTAAAGTTCTACGCTGGACCAGGAACCTGCCCCTTCCCTAAGGTTTAGTGCTCTTCTTTAGATCCCATTGCTAGCTTTTGAGTCTTTACGGTCCCTCTTCCTTCTTTGCAGGGGCAATTTATGCAGAAATGATCAACAACCTTCTCCGCCCTCTGGTTGAAGCCAAGGACTGCACTTTAATTCGACATAACGTATTCCACGCCCTGCCCAACACTGCCAACACCCTGATCGGCAGAGCCGCCCACATCGCTGTGCTGGACTCCGAGCTCTTCCTGGAAAAGTTCTTCTTGGTGGCGGGACTCAACTACTTCAAGTAGTGGCTTTGGGTAACTCCCAGAAGCGTTTAACGTCCCCTGAGAACTTTCACGGAGACACGCTTTTATTGACCTCTGCCATTTCAAGGTAGAGCTCACAAAGGAAGTTGCGTGGGATGGGGTGGGTCTCGCCAGTAGAGGTGCTTTCGTTTTGGACATTTGGGAAAGCTGAAGAAATAGCATGAAAGACCATAAACCTTGCCCTACTTTGTCTATAGCCACCCGAAGTCTCATTCAAGATGCTTTCTAGAAAAATGAGAAAATAAAGCAGCAGAGTACTTCAAGTTGGTGAGCTCAACTTTTTAGCCACCACTAGCTCAGAGAGAGTGGCTCCCGTCAACTAGATGTGTCTAGTATGTTACTAGCTCATAGCTTTACTACCATTGTTGATTAAATTAAGTGCACACAGCATTTCAGAACTCAGGTTAACCTTTGTGGAGAAGTGGAACTTATTTGTATAAATAGAATCCTTCATAGATTCAAACGTGCCCCTTGTTCAAGACAGTGCAATGCCCATAGTCTCATCCTCTCTTTATTATTCTGTCAATAGGGAAAAAGGAATGCTTTATGAGTCCCAATTGCATTTCAGAAGAGCAGTGGAGGGGGTGACTTCAGGCAGGGAGGAAGAAAGGCAACGCTATTGGTAGAGCCAAACAAAAATATCCACAGGGAACATGTTGAATTAGTGGCTCTACCTAATTCCCCAGACATTTTCTGTGCACAGTCCCGGCCCACAAATTATTTTTATGATCACATAAATCTCTGCCTGAAAAAGGGAAAACTGACTTAAACTAAACTTAGCAGAAGGGGCACTGAGATTAATGTACACGTGTGAAGCTCCTGCTGATATACTTCCAAAGAAATGCTATGTTAGCATTTGGTGCAATTGCAAAAACATAAAACTGAAATCATGAACACAGCCAGCTGCTTCTCCTCTCTGTGGAAGGAGAAAGCCATCTAAATGGAGGACTGCTGGAAGAAGACCTCAGGGGAGCTCGAAGAGGGTGCTGGTCATCTTTCAAAGGAATCATCTTCTTGCCTTAGGAAAATAAGGGCTAGGAAAGATCTCCAAAGATACCAACCAATAAACAATAGGGACAAAAGTGAGATCAGCTAAGGAAACCACAGGCAGGCCAAGGACTCAAGCTAAACCATTATTGGAAAGTGACTTAAGGGGAAGTTTTGAAGATTACCATGGTACTTAACATGGGCCCAAAGACTGAGTACATTCTGTGGGCTGCAGGAGGCCTAGAGGATAATGCAGTTGCACTGCAGTAACTCATGGACTAGAGCAGCAGGGATGCCTAACACGGAAGAGCCTTCTTTGGGGAACAGAAGCTCCTGCCTCTGCAAAAAATCCCTTCTGAGGTTCCGAAACTCATGTGGGACTAGGTTCTAGGTCCCAGCACTGGTACCATAACTCTGGGTCACTAATGCTGTGGTAATAAAGCTGAGAAATTCTAGGCCCATCTTAGAATTTTAGATTCTATCATATTTTGCTATATGACTTTGCAACATGAATGTAGACCATTCATATGGTATACTGAATATACAATATTGTGTACTAATGGTCTAATATACAAAAACAAGCCCAGGTAGGCAGCTCTACAGGAAGGCAGATGTGTGCATAGCTTTCAAAAAAGAAATTGTACGTTCTGCAAGGGCAGGCTTCTACACAACCGTTTAGAGGTTCTCTGTAGGTCCTTCCAGAACTTGCATTATACTCTAGTGTTAACATATATGGGTTCGATGACTTCTCTAGACACTTTCCCATTTTGGGTATTTTTGGAGGTTCCTGAGCTCTGGTGGCATAGTGCCTAAGGCATTTGACTGCTAACCAGCAGGCTAGCAGTTCAAACCCACCAGCCGCTCCTCAGAAAGAAGATTGGGCAATCTATTTCCATAGCGATACCACCTCGGAAACCCAAGGAGGGTCACTATGAGTTGGATCTGACTTGATGGCAGTGAGTTTGTTTTTTGGTTTGGAGTTACTGCTGGGCATAGACTCTGGCTACTCATACCCAGGAGGGATTGGTTTCCTGGTAGGTGAAGGCCGTGATGTTGTGTTTCCTGGCTTAGACAAGTGCCCACGCTCAGTGCCAGGACCATGAGTTCGTAGCAACTTCTTTTGACCCAAACAGGAATCCTGCCCCTTGGATGAGTCTCATTAATTTATGTTTCTGATTCCCATCAGCCTTGTGAGTCATTTCCTGGTCATTTGAAAGACTGTGTAGCCATGGAGCCAAGATGAACCCCATGATCATTGTCTTTTCAGATAACCAGATGCCATTTTTAACATGCTGTCTGGACATGGTAAGAACTCATGGCAATAAACGTCCAGCTGCATGGTGCACCTCTTCCTCATAGGGGTGCTCTGCTGTCTTTGTAAACCCTCTCTGGCCTCCAGGCATCTATTCTAATTGTGTAGGAAGTACTTCGCTATATTGTAAATAGGAGCAGCAAATGTTGTGTGTCATGCCTCATTTGAAAAGGCTTTTTTATGTCTCTTTCTATTGAAGTATAGATATCTAATATATATGTATGTATCTATATATATATATAATGTAAAACAGGGACATTCTATTATTGATTATAAAAATTATAAACAAAATGCCTGCCAACATACTGGTCTAATATGTCTTCATTTTCAGCATGAGTTTTTTGTTTTGTTTTTATTTTTCTTTTAAGGTTCTCCAACATAGCTAGACATAAAGATTGCTAATATTGAGATTAATCAGAATTTGGTTTTCATGAGAAAATTAAATCCAGAGAAGCAGGTATGAACTTAAGGTAACGTATTATAGTAACCTTGGTGATAAATAAATACCTCAGTTGCTGGTTGAAAGCAGCTGCTATGTTAGGAACTCAGAGAGAAGGTGGAGAGGGGATGTTTGTTTCTACAGCCCCTGGACCCTTACTGAGCAACATCACTTTGTGCCAGACAGGAGCAAAAAGATCAAATATAGGCAGAGTCCCAGCCTGCAAAGAGCTCAAGGAAGTTTCAGATTTGTAATTGCACCATGACAGAATTAGGGCTCTGAGGGAGGGATGGGCAAGGAGGAGGGTGGTCCTGGGAGTCCAGTCTTCATTGCAAGGGAAGGCCGAGAGGGTAGTCTTAAAACTAAGACTTGAAAAGTGAGAGTATTTTCTTTCAACAACCAAGTGTGCTCTCCCATCAATCTATGATTCATTCAACAAATGTGTATTGAAGGCCTACTATTCACTACAAGGATGTATTGGTGAGATGCAGTAACTCAAAGTCTAGCATGGGATGCTGCCAATCAAAGGGAAAATGAAATAGGTAGGCACCATGGCTATGGTGGGGGTCCTGTGGGTGCTCAGAGGAGGGACGTCCATCACACACTGGAGATACATGGTACGGAGTGGGCAAGAAGGGCTCCATGGAAAAAGTTAAGTGTAAGTTGAGACCCAAAGGATGAGTAAAATTGGCCAGATGAAGGGTGGGTTGTATGGGTCCCTCCATGAGGGAACAGAATAAGCAAAGGGCTTATGCGGAGAGAATGAGCCAAGAATATTTGGGGAGCTGGAAAGGCAGATGTAGAATATGTTTAAGCACAAGACTGAAAAAAATCAGAATCCACGTGGAATTCTCTCTTCTTATATCTGGGCGAATTTTCCAGTGCTATAACTAGTGGGCAAATGCCCACTCAGAAATGAGGGTCCCCAGTGAGACCAAGCTCCTCCTCTCCATCATCACATCCCTCCTCCAGAGTTGGTTTTGCAGGAGAGATTTGGCCTTACTGTATGAGAAGTCCAAGGCCACATCCCTCCTCATCACTCATTCCTGAAATTCCACTTTGAGGAGCATAGTCCATACCCCTAAATATATGACAAGGTAGGTGCTTCTAACCTGATGCTGGGCTGCTGCACGGGAACGACTGGGACAAGTGACATCACACGGCTAGGTCTGTGCTGATGGCTCATGTGCTGGGAATGCCCTACTGTCAGGGCCGGGGGCTCCCACCACGGCCATTCCTCATCTTTATCACAGTGTTTCATTTGTGTTTTTGTGGGTTCCCTGCATTTGTACATGTGCTCCTTGAGGGCAGGACCCCATGCCCAATTCATCCACGTGTCCTGCTGTTTAAGTCATATCCTGCTGCGTGGATCACTGCCTGACACAGAGTGGGGGTAGAGTAAGCAGGGATCAGTTCTCTGAAAACTCATGTTTTCTTCTCTAGCCTCTTATCCATCCTCAGCAACTGATTCTGATGCAGAAAGGTTTTGACATCAACTGTTTCCCTTCTAACCTTCTGAATTTGCAAGAGAAAATAGTTTCATGAGATAAGAGACCAGCATGGTATTTTTGTATAGTGAGAAGAACAACTACATCTTGGGCCTCAGTTCTGTCACCTGTAAAACAGGTTTGAAAGCATCTACCTTGACATATATATTGTTGTTGTTGTTGTTATGTGCCGTTGAGTCGGCCCCGACTCATAGCGACCCCTCCTTGGGTTTCCGAGGCAGTATCACTACGGAAGTAGGATTGCCCAACCTTCCTTCTGAGGAGTGGCTGGTGGGTTTGAACCACCAGCCTTCTGGTTAGCAGTCAAGTGCTTTAGCCACTATGCTACCAGAGCTCCTTGACATATATATAGGGCCTGTATATGTAGGGCCTATGGATGAAAAAGGAGCTCTGGTGGCATAGTGCCGAAGGCACTTGACTGCTAACCAGAAGGCTGGCGGTTCAAACCCACCAGCCACTCCTGAAAAGGAAGGTTGGTGACCTTTTGGTTCATAGTTGGATGCTTTAACTAATGCACCACCAGAGCTCCTGAACCAATCCCTGCTGATAGCAAACTCTTCACTACAATTACATTCACTTGCTGCATGTGCAGCTTTTAAATCATTGAAATGGCTTTGAGCCTTTCCTTGCACTAAAGTAAATCTAAATAAGAACTGTATGCACCTGTTCCAACTTCCCTACACATTCAGCTTAAAGACACACTTAGGAGTGGATCTCATTCATCATCCAGGGACTG